GTGAGTAGCAGGTGAGGGTTCTTAACCCTTATTGGCCGGCTGCATACAGTTTGGAAGCACTGTGATAGATGGATAAAGGACGTGCCATTGTACACATAAGGAAACTGAGGCTCAGGCTAAGCTGGCTGGGCAAGGTGGCTCTTGCTTGTATGCCCAGCGCTTTGGAAGGATGGATCGCTTGAGGTCAGGAGTTCAAGACCAGCCTTGGCAACATAGTGAGACCTTGTCGCTAAACAAAAAAGAAAAAAATTAAATAGCTAAATAAATAAAAGGTTAAGCCACTTACTTGAGGGGCTACATAGCTAGTGAGTGATCAAGTTAGATTTGTCTGGCTCCGAAGCCTGTGGTTTCCCCACCACATCTTATACTACTTGTAACCCAGTGCTTAGTAGTAAATTACAATAAAATACTGATTGTGTTTCTAACTATATTCGTGCTGGGATTTAAAAATTCTCACACACGCACCTCAAACCTACAGATTGCGAAATTACTTCTTTGGAGTTAAAAAGGTGTATGTTTTTAGAAACTGTTGAAAAACGTTGCTTTTTTGGCGGTGGCTTTTTCGTCACAGGCTGTGGTGAGCGAGGAGTGTGTCCCCGCGGACCAGTTTGTCGAGCTCTTGCTTCCCAGCCTTCTGGGCCTTGCGTCGGACCCCGTGCCCAACGTGAGGCTGCTGCTGGCCAAGGCTCTGCGGCAGACGCTGCTGGAGAAGGGTGCGTGGAGCGTCTCTCTAATCTCAAGTTCTGAATAAACCCCATCGGTTGTGGAAGGTAGCATGTGGATTTCCTTTGGGAAAGTGCGGCAAGTTGTGTGATAACATACTTCTGATTTGTTATGTAAATTAGTATATTAGTTTTTTATGCATGAGTTTATGTTTTTTATAAAATGACTAGGACATGAATATAATTCAGTCTTTACATTTACTAACCAGATACTAAAATACACCTTCTGGAAATGAGGGAAACTTTTGTCAATTTTGAGTTATGACATGATAGATTATGAAAGGTAGCAAACTTAAGCCTAACCGCTATTAAATTGTAATGGTATTATTTTGTAGTCAGTACAAAAACATTTATAACCCAACCTACTTGGTTATTTAAACCTGAATGGGACTTAACATAAGCTTTGTGTCCCTTGGATAGTTTCTTTCTACACCACATATGTAGGAGAATGTCTTCAACTCTGCCCTGCATGTACCTTTCTTGCCACTTCATCCCCTGCCCTACCCTTCCAGCAACCTACTCCTCCTCTTTTGTTCCACACGTTGCCATTTCTTTTGTGTTGTAGGGAAAAAAAGGCAAAAGTAAATTTGTTAGTTATTATAATTCTTAAAATATGGGTAAACTATTGGAGATCATCATTAAAATTTAAGAAATAAATTTCTTTAAGTCTTTAAGTAAGACATATGTATGTGATTGTCCATGAAAAATGATTTACTGTCCTGACATGTGGTTAACAAAAAACAAAACTAGAGTGTGTTTTTCAACACAGTTCATGGCACATGTGATTCAGACTCATGGTTTCTCTCTTTAGCCTATTTTAGAAATGCCGGTAACCCTCATCTTGAAGTCGTAGAAGAGACCATCTTAACTTTGCAGTCTGACCGGGACCAAGACGTTTCCTTTTTTGCCACCCTAGAACCAAAGCGGCGGAATATTACAGACATGACTGTACTAGAAAAACAGAAATAAGTACTCTGTGGTGAATTGCAGTCTGATCGTTTCATGCTTGGCATGTGTTGCTTATAACTTGAAGGGGAACTTACTATATCATACGTGCTAAGGAAGAAAAATTTCTGAACCTTTCCCACCATGCACTTGATTGACTGGCCCCTTTCCCATCTGCAGCCCTAAGGGACAGAACCCCCATGGGGGTTTATTCCGGAAGGCTTGGCCTGCTCTGTGCTTCCCTACCCCTGCAAGCCTGATAGGTAACAGTCTGTAGAAAGATTGCAGACCCAGGCAGCTACCTGGGTATTGAGGTCTCCATACCATCATATTACCTGCCACCAATTTGTTTTCTCTGTTACAGACTATATTATTTGAAGTCCTCCCCCCGAAATAAAGGAGTTTATTAGAAGCTTTTAAGTCTTTAATAGACTTGCATATTTGCTTCCCTTATGGTTTCTTATAACATATAGTTTATGGTGTTATATTTTATTTTTAACTGAAATACTGTACATATGTAAATAATTCTTGACAGGAAGAAAAATACGTTAATGTAATATTAGCCCCTATCAGTGAGCTGAACAAATACATCATTTAAATTTATGCTCCACTTTGAGTTGCTACAAATATAGTCCAATTTGTTTCCTTTCAAAAAATGTGATAAAGAAACTGTTAAAGAATGATTTATGGCAATCTAATGTTGTACTTTTGTTATAAACTGTACTTGGAACTTTTGCTCATATACTCACCCCTCCCCTTTTGGTAGGAACTGTATCTATAAAGATGTGTTGTCCTTTGATAGAGGCAAAGACCTAAGAGATCTTTCATTTTTATATGTATGTGGTATCATATGCTTAAGAACTTGGGAGAGAAACTGATAATTGAGATGCATGGATATTGACTTTTTATCTAATGCTTTAGAATCTTAATGAAAACTAGGAAAACATAGTTCTGATCAGAACTTGGCCACAAATTCTTCCCACCAGTGATTTTGGAGGTTAAATTATGTACTTTTCAAATTAACTTAAGTATACAGCACCTATACTTCATGCTTTTAAAATTTAGACTAAGAGAAAGATGCTCTAGAATTTAACCAGGTTTTTCATTAATTAAAAGATTTTTCATTGATTTAAGATTTTATAAACATTTCATTAAGTTCTGCATGCATGTATGCTTGTGTTATTTTTCTTGTTCCTATTTTTATGTTCTCTGAGGTAGGCATAAGGGAAGGAAGGAACAGCCCAGTTGGGGTTCAGGAGCTAGCAGCCAAGGGCATGCAAGCTATTTCTAGTCTTCCCTTTGATCTTTTTCTTATCTGTCTTTTCTTTCTTTCTTTTTTTAAAATAATATTTCTGAAGCTATGTATTGAATTTCCTGGTATACAGGATGTTCTCCCACCCCCTTCCCAAATTCCACTGAACTGATGCTTTAAAAAGAAAGGAAGGAATCTATACTGTGCCAAAGTAAATAAGGTACATATGTGAGAATTCTAAATTATAACCCAGGGTAGCATTCAGGCAACTTCAGCAAAGACTGAGTTAATAAATTGGAGGCTACATATTAAAAAAAAAAATCCTTCTTGTGTTTAATATTTGCCTAAAGTAAATTGATGGAGATACTGTTTTGCTTCGGTAACAAGCACTTTTTAATTTTTTTTATTGCCTAGAAATTGAGATTGTCATGTTGTTAAAATCTGTTGATCTAGTAGCAAGTAGAATCATGCAACTGGAATCTTGTATTTTATGCAGAGCTTAATTTTCCATTAAGGAAAAAAATGAGCTTCAGTTTGTGTTGTGACCTGTAGGGTCTGCGTGTTTGGTCACAACATGCTTGCAGAGATCATAGGGCTCTCTGGTAAATAATCTAGCCTTTACCATTTCAGTTTATATGTTAAAATTTTTCTGTAATTTAATATGAATGCCATTACAATACACAGATTTTTTATGGCTGTAATTTCTCTGCAAAAATAATTTTTAAGGCTTATATTTTATTTTTTTGTAACAACTGAAAATTTTTTAAGATTGTTCTGGTTTCCCTAGCCTTTCTGTCTAGCATTCCCTCCCTGCCCCCGCCCCCACCCCCGCATCACTTTAGCTTCTGTTTGTATTTAATTGTTGTTTGTAGGTGTTGAGTGTTTGTGATTTGACCACCACATGTAAGCTTCCTGTTTACTTGAACGCTCAGCCTCATCTCCGGGTGAATTAATGGAAAAACACAGATGGGTTTCTCACAGAGCTCTCTCAAAAGGTGTCCTAACAATAGACATCATCACTGCTTTCCCAAGTGGACATTTCTTCTCTTGTTAAGTGTTTTTACCAGCCCCTTTTCCCTCCAAGATTTCAAGAGCATTTTCAAAGCTGATGGATTTTGATGCAGCTTTGTAAATTTCCATGAAGGTCTGTCTCCTACTCTCGGGGTCCACGGTGGGGACCAGATCTTGACTCGATCTGCCGGAAGGAGTCATACTTCTGCAGTGTTTGTTTTTCATTCATGCTAGAAATGTGTTTAAGCATGACTGAAGACTGCGCCTTGCAAGGTTGTGACCCACGCATGCAGTGATGATTTAGGGCGCTATTCACAAATAAGCCCTCCACGCGATTAGCCCCAAATTATGCAAAGATTGTATTTTAGACAGACACGGAGAAGAGGGAACCATTTTCCTAATGGCAGCAAGAATCGTCCTCCCATTTTCCCAGTGAGAAGAACTGACGTTAACGGCAGCTTTGCAAGCTGCTAGAAGGAGCTGGGAACGAGGCTCGGCCTGCGGCCTGCGGTGGGGGCTGCGGCTGGGGCGGGGGTCGCGGCGACGCGCCCGGCGTCACACCAGTAACCCCGGGGTTTTAGGAAGCCCCGGTGCCCTTCCTTGTCATTTGGGCCCGTCTCCCGCGGCCACGTGAAGCGGCGCCTTTGTTCACGTCGGTGGGCTCGGGCGGGGCGGGGCGGGCGCGTCACGGGGGCGCGGGGGGCGCGCGGGCGCGTCACTGGCGCGGCGGGGGCTGCGGGGCCGCGGGCGGGGGCTGCGGGCGGCGCGTCACAGGGGGCGGGGCCGCGGGGCACGCGCGGGCGGTGTTTGTTGTTCACAAGTGGCGGCTTGTGGCGGTGGTGCTTTGGATGGTTTCGCGTTGCGGTTGCTGTGTTGTGGTGTGGCGGCGATGTGTTCTCGATTTTGCGGTAGTGTTTGCGCTTGTGGAGGGGCCATGTGGCGGGGCGGTGGCGCGGGCGCGTTTTGGTTCTTTTGGTGTTTGGCCGGGCGGAGCGTGGGCGGGCGCGGTCGCCGGGGGCTCGCTGCGCCCAGCTGCGTGAGGCCGCTGGCGCGGCTCGGGGGCCACTGGCATGGCGCGTCGGTCCGGAGCGGCTCGCCAGCTCGCGGCCCCCCCCCGCGCAGTCCCCGGCCCGGGCTCGCCGCCGGAGCGGCCGGTCGTCGGAGATGTGCAGTCCGGGAGCCTGTCGCCTGACTTGGCCCCTGATGTCTTCTTCTTGCGGGTGCGGCTGGAGGATACCGGGGAGATGTTCCGGGTGACCAACTGCCACGGCGACATGACCGTGCGGGAGCTCAAGGAGGAGCTGGACCTGATGGTTGGCATCCCCTTCAACCTGCAGCGGCTCCAGTACCTCGACCAAGGTGGCTCCTGCCCCGCCCGACCTTTCCTCTGGTCACGTGTGCTCCCGAGACAGCCAGTCCACTTATTCACTTGAAGTCCCAAGAGAACTCTGTCCAGTGAGGACCCCTAGATGCCCAAGAAAACCTCAACCGCCCTGAACCCCACATGGATGAGCCACCTAGGATCTTGGCCATAGAGAGACTTCTCAGTCCCAAACACACCAGGTTCCCATCAGACCCCAAATCACCGTAGCAGGACCCTAATCCACAAGCACGTCCTGCTGTATCAGGCTTCACTGCCAACCCTGAGCACATCCTGTCCCAACCAGGACCCCAGATCTCAAAGCCCCCCCAGAAGCCCAGACTCAAGCTTCCCATGTTTTCATGAGGGACCAGAGGTCCCAAAGCCAGATGTGTTCATGTAAGACTTGCCTGGAACAGAGCTTGCCCTCAGCAAGAACCCCAAACCTAGTACCCCAAGCACAAAGCAAACAGCAAACCCCAAGTCCTTATTCATGCTGACTTGTGAACATCAGAGCCCCAGATCTCTAGCCAACCATGTCTGTGCAGGGGTGCCACAGTCTAAAACAAATCCTGCTGATCTCAGGACCCCAAGCCCAGAAAAACTTTGCTCAAGGCTGAACCCCCAATCTCTAGGCTAACCATGACTATCTCAGAACCCCGAATCCTCCATCAGTTGTGTCCACACAAGGATGTTAAAACTCAAACCCTGCCCACCTCAAGACCCCCAAACTCAGAACAAAGTTGGCCCAATTTGCACTCCAAATCCCCAGGCTGACCATAGCTCCCTTAGAACCCCAAATCGCCCAGCAGTTGTGTCCAATGAGGATGTCAAAGCTTGAACAAGCCCTGATCACCTCAGGACCCCCAAACCCATAGCGTACCTACCTGCCCAAGACTGAACCCCACATCCCCAGGCTAACCCTGACTACGTCAGGACCCCGAGCCCTCCAGCCACCTTACTTTTGCAGGGACGCCAAAGAGCAAAGCAAACACTGCCCACCTCACAACCCCAAAACCCAGAACATACTTGCCCAAGACTGAACCCCAGATCTCCAGGTTAACCATGACTACCTCAGAACCCCGAATCCTCCAGTGTACACGGAAGGATGTCAAAGCTCAAAACAAATCCTGCCCACATTAGGACCCCAAAACCAAGAACAAACCTGGTCAAATCTGAACCCCCAATCCCTAGGCTAACCCTATGACCATCAGAACCCCCAGTCCTCCACAACCGTATCCACAGGGTGCCAAAGCCTAAAATAAACCCTGCCCACTGTGGGACCCCATCTTTCTGAAAACTCTGCTCACACTTGAACCTTGAACCTCCAAGCTACATCCCAGAGCAGCCTCTACCCACATCATGACCCTAAATTCCAGAGCAAATATGCCCGATTCCGAGTCCCCAGTCTCTAGCTAACCATTTGGTTGTGTGAACCCCATCATTAGCTACTTCTGTCTACATAAGGATGACAGCTCAAAATACGCCCTGCCCACATCTGGACCCCAAAATTCAAAGTCACCTCTGCCCACATCTGAAAGCTAGTCGGCTCCAGTCACTACATCAGAACCCCAATTCAAGCAGCATATCCTCATAAGGCTCCAAAGACTGTGACAAACCCTGCCCACAACAGTACCCTAAAGCTCAAATCTCCACGAATACCATGTCTACGTCCACACTCCCAGGTTGAAGCTAACCATGTCCATGTAAGGAAGTCAAGGTTCAAAATAAGCCTTGCCTACGTGAGGACCCCCAAACTCAAGGCAATCTTTGCTTGGATTTGAAACCCAAATCCTTCAGCCAACCTCATCCATACTAGAACCCCAGATTCTAGACCAAACCCTGCCTATGTCATTACCCCAAATTTTGTATCGGATCCTATCACCATTGAGACCCCCAAATCTCAGGGCAGATGTGCTCGATTTCTAACCCCCAATTGCCACCCACCCAGGGCTACATCAGAACCCCAAATCTGAAAATAAGTCCTACCCATACAAGGACTCCAGATCCCAAAGCAGACCCTTCCCATGTTGGGAAGGGACCCCCAAACAACAAACCTTGCTTTAATCAGAACCCCAAATCCAGAGTAAGTTCTGCCCTGTCAAGACCCCAAATCTCAAAGCAAACCCTATCCACTATTGGACCCCAAATATTGGCACTAACCCAGTTCATATCAGAACCCCGAATTCCAAGCTGTGTCCTTGCCCACATCAGGAGCTCAAAGCCAGCCCCGCCAGTATCAGAACCCAGTACTCAAAAGCTCCCCATCGCTAAATCAGGAGCCCAAGGGCCCCCTGTCCAGACAAGTCCCATGTCGTAGGTACCTGGTGGAGGCCAAGGACCTTAAAAGCCCATCTCTCCCTCCATTGGTCTCCTTCCCTTGACCTGAGGACATGGCCTTCCCTATCCCGATTCCCTACAATATTTAGGATATGAGAATAGGAGCAAAGCCCCTGAGCTCCATCATCTCCCCTCCTGGTTGAAAAAAAATGCAAAACCCTTCAAGAAAATGAAATCATAAAAGAATCTCTGGGCACAGAGAATGCAAACGCCGAGACTGCAGTCGCACTGCAGGGGCCCGGACGGGGTGGAGACGGAGCTCTGTGGGCAGCCTGTCCCCACCAGCCCGGTGCTCCCAGGCACTGCCCTTCCGGGCTCAGTTTCCTAACCCGTGGAGCGGAGCCCTGTCAGCTCTAGGTTTCTCAGTGCCGTTTCCCGCTGTGGTCAGAAATGAGTCAAGAAGGTCACGATGTACAGTGAAGGCCAAAATACCTTCATTTGCTGTCTTTCAAACAGGGGAAGCGTTTTTCACGACATATTTGTTTTCCAATAGGAGTATTCGAAAGATGCTCTTGGGCATCTATCTTTGAGGCTTTATTTGGAAAGCAGTGTGCTGTGAGCCTAGCCTGTATCTAAAATGTTAGGAATTGAAGGTGAGTTATTGAAGGACTTAGTGAAGAGTTCCCAGGCAAGTAACCTGAAAATTATGTCTCCTCAACTGCAAATGTCTGGCACCCCTTCTGTTCGCCTGTTTTCACTGATGAGCTCCGCCGGGCTGTAAATTCAGGAAAGCTAAGAGGGACTGAGCGAGATGGGGTGACTTAACAGTGATGTCACAATGCTATCACCCGACAGACGCTCGGCAGCCGCCAGAAGCTCGACCTCCGCGGGTGCAGTCCTTGCCGGTGGATGGCAAGAGGGAAGGCGCTACTTTGCTGTGGGAAGAAATCTGGGCCACTGCCTATTAAATAATCCGTTGACGACAGGCAGGGGGTGGGGGTGGGGGCTCTTCTACCCATCTCAGAGGGTGCGGGGCAGGGAGTGGGGGTCGAGATCAGATGAGATCATGTGTGTGGTAACCTCGAGATACACAAATCTAAAAGGGGTGAGCAGATTCATGGGCGAGGGTCGCCGTTACACATCTGTTGTCAGCTCTGATAATTTATTTAGCTGGTGATAATTAGTGTTTGTCTAAGCCCAAGGCAGTGGCCGCCTGTCCGTGAAAAGAGGATGTGCTCTGATCTCTGTACGAGCTGTTGAGCATGTTTGAATTGTGCTCTTGTATTTCTTCAGGGAAACACAGCCCTACTCAAGATTTTCAAAGTTGTTAGGAAGTCAAGTTGTCTTACATAGACTAATCACCGATGATCTTCCCTGTTTAAACCACGAATAGGACACTCACCGGTCTGCTAATCACGGTTCTGTTTATATCCACCACGCTGAGTTTCTGGTGACCGGATGGTGCCAACGCACCGTTGACACGCATGCACGTGGCCCTGGAGGGGGGCAGGTCTGGTGACGGCGGCTTGGAGTTTGCTAGCGAGCTTCAGTTTGCTCCTCGGCAAACGGAGATCACAAAGCGACCTTGCAGGGCTGTCGTGAGAATCGAAGAATGCAAGGACTCAGCACGGGCACAAAGCCATCAGTCACTCAGCCGGGGAACCAGAGCGCTCATGAATTCCACCCACTTGGAATATATGATAATCGAGCCCGGGCAAGAGCTGAGACTTTACGAAGAACGCAAGTTATACTGTTATTCTTTTAAGCCTGACTGTAAGTGGTCGTGCAAGAAAATGTGTGTGTGTTTAAAAAGATAAACACAACTGCACGTTCTTAAAAGGTTCTGTGTCTAATTCCCTTCTGCTGATGCTGACAGTCTTCCCCAGAGAGTGTGAATTTATGAAGTGTGACTTGACCCACCTCGTTCTTTCATGTGAGTGAGACGCAGTTCTGGGTGACGGTCCAGGCAGAAGAACTCTGACACGCCACGTCCAAACTACGGCAAATACCAGCGTTAACTTCTTACATTAATTACCGTAGCTTCTCAGCGGGGGTGATTTTGTCCCCCAGGGCCCATCTGGCAATTCTCTGGAGACATTTTCGATTGTCGCCATTGGGTGAGCGTGCTGCCCACATCTCTCTGGTAGAGGCCAGGGAAGCTGCTAACCGTCCTCCAATGAGCAGGGCGGCCCCCGCCCCGCCCAGAGCTATTTAGTGGAAAATGTCAGTAGGGCCAAGGTTGAGAAACTCTGCCTTGGGCTATAGTTTGAAAGACCCAACAATTTTTTTTTGTCACTGTTACTTCTTTAGCCAGCTAATGACAACATCAACCAGGGTCGTATTTTAGCTTAACATAGAGAACTCGCACAACTACGTTGTCCGTGTCTACTATGTATAGTTACTGCAAGTTTAAGTAGTTCTGTTTGTAGAATTTGCCTCATAAAATGACTTTACTGACTCATGTATTTTTTTTTTTTACAATAGGACAAGTTATAATTACAGAATTTTATCAATTGTTGCCGTCGTTCTTTTGTTTGTTTGTTTGGCTTCTATCTAAGCTGAGCCAAATTAATTTTCTAAAAAGCATTAACGACACCAAAACAGACTCGTGTGGAATCACCAAATGGGATTTGTGTTCAAGGGTCTAAAATTATCTTTGTGGTATCTAAGGTCAGATAATCTCTTAACCAATGCGATAGTTTATCTTTAATACTCAACTTTTTTTAACGGAAAAATTATTCCTCGTAGGAGTTTTGATGGATGGTGCTACGTTGAAGTTCCATGATGTGGTTCCTGGTGGAATTGTTTCATTATGTATCTGGCATTATGACGGATGGACAGAGCTCGTGGTGGCAGCCGTGGAAGGAGATCCCAGCAAGGTGTTTTCACGCTTTTTTCCATGGATATTACACTTTACAAAGCAACTGTGAATCGTAGGGGGGAAAATCAGTCTTTAATACGGGTATGTGAGTAAAAGTTTCAGAGTAGGGAAAAAAGATAACAACCCATGTTTAATTAGCAAATGCCGTACCTAGTGCTTTCGTTCATTCTTTGGGTTTACTTAATTATTAATATGATTTATAACCCACTTACCGCCCCCCGCCCCAGGAATCAAGGCAGCGAGTTGCCCATTCATGTGTGTATTTTATGAAGTTGAAAATCTAATTTAACACACGGAGCGAAGAACTTCAGAGAACTTGCAAATGCGCAGCCCGGCGCCAGGGCCGTACACGCGTGGGGTGCCGGGGTGGCCCTGCCCAGCGCAGGGAGCCCTGCTCCTCGCTGAGCCGCGGCCGGCGCCCGCTGGTGCGGGCCTTGCTCTCAGGGGCTCTGGGGGTGGGCGGTGGGGGCCAGGCGCTCAAAACCAGGATGTTTACCCAGCAGGGAAGATGAATCACTCTGACAGGGGGCTAGTGTAGATTCTCCCTAGAGAAGAGACTCAGACGGAAAGCTGTGAGCTCAAGGGGCGGAGGAGTGGAGTTCACTTGCTGGGAAGGGTCGGGAGGCTGAGCACAGGACGAGGGCAAGGGGGTGAGGCCGGGAGGAGGGGTGGGCTCTGGGCAGGCAGGACCAGGACCACAGCCCCCTCCCCACTGCAGGCATCAGGCCTGGGCGGGGGGCTGGGGTCCCATCCAGGACTCCTTGCGTGCGGTTGCTCCCCTGCCTCTGCCCCTTCAGCCTCCACGGCCTCCCCTCCCTCCAGCGATTTGGTCCAGGCCTCAGTTTCCCAGCCCTTGCTCTGGACGTGGGGTTATTTCCCTCCCGTTTGGGTCTTGAGTCAGAACCGCTGTCACCTTTGGCTCGACCCTTTCCCTCCAGGCAGCCCCGCACCTGACTCCCACATCTGGGACAGAGTTCCTGGCCCTGTGGGAGCCCATAGTCTTCCTCCCAAGCTCAAAGACCTAATTTGTGATACCAGATGAGCACTTTCTGGAGCACTGTGTCTGCGGGCGGAGTTCAGAGCGCCCCGATGCTAAGGGGACGGATGGGCACAAAGCTAGGTCGGAAGGCCAGGAGACATCAAGTCTCCAGAGAAGTGCGTTGCCCTCTGGGGAGGCCGCTGCATGTTGGAGGGTGTCTTCCTTAACGGCCACAGCCAGCTTCCTCTGGCCACCCAGCAAAGCTATTTTCTGTCTTCAAAACACGGACAGGAAGGCCCTCCTGTCCCCTGAGCTGACGGATGGCAAATTCTGCTTCCTGAGCATGTACAGCATCGGGCGGCGTCCCCCATACTTCCCTGGGCTTCCGAGCCCTCTGCTCGGGCTTGCCCCCCTCCCTTCCCACCATGACCTCCACTTCGGTATCGAGCACGGCTTCCCCTGGGAGTGCGCCGTCAGCCCTCCCGCACGGGGTGGCTGCCCTTCTGAGCATGACTCACACGCCGTTTGTCTCCCCCAGCTCTCTTGCGTCGGCGTCTCCGAGGACTGCTACTACCGAACCCCGAACTCAGAACGTTTTAGAGATGAGGAGTGGAGGCAGTGGCGCGCTCAGAGGGCGTTTGTGGCGTTGTATATCACCTCGCACAGAGGCCACGCCGAGGCGACACAGTACCTTCTAGAGCAAGGTAGTTCTGGTAGGCAGCTCAGCATGCTCAGGAGTTGGGGTCTTTCGCTGGTAGGGAGGACGGAGGGGCCTGGCTTCCCAGTCCCTTCAGCAGCGGTTTCCTGCACGGCGTCTTGCCAGGCCTCAATCCTGGTCCCCATGGGGCCCCTCGCCCCTGTCTGCACTGGTGTCCTAGGGCGTGCCAGCCAGAGGCTGCGCCCCTTCTCTCAGCCAGGTCTCAAGGGGATTCTTCCTGCCCTGGTGAGATGGGAATTTCAGGGAGCAGCCGAAAGGGTTTCCCGGTTCGGCATTTCCCACTAGACACAGTGCTGGGACCGTCCCCACGCTCTCTGCGAGACTTCCAGCCTCGCCGGCGGCTGGGGCCCTGCGAGGATCCAGAGTGGTCCAGCCCGTGCCGCGGAGCTCTGTGGCGGCCGGCAGGCTGGCCGGGCTCCTTGCCCCAAACCCTGGGATTATCCCTCAGGGAACGTTTGCCCCAACTCTCCTCTCAGCCCCCCTCGGCTGATAGACGCGAAGCCTCCTCTGAGCTTTGCAGGAGATGCTGCGGGACCTGTCCTCCCTGCGTGTGGGATACTTTTGGGGAAAAGACGCCGCTGGTTGAGATGTAGACTTTTCGAGAACAGTAGGCCATAGCTGCGGACAGCCGGGCCACTGGCTTCCTTGGGAAAAGGAAGAACGAGTTGCGTGGTGTGGGCCTGCCGTCGGGTGCTCAGACGGGGCCTGTCGAGGGTCTCGTGTGCCAACCGGCCTCCAGGGAGACCCTCTCCTGCCCGCGGCCCTGGCCCAGCCTCTCTCGGCTGCGTGTTCGCGTTGGCCCGCTTCCACCGAGCAGGGTGGAAGGCAGCTGGGCCGTCTCGGGCCGGACGCCTGGGCCGCGCCGGAGTGTGCCCCTCCATGCCGCGCCGGCCGCCTCGACCGCGGCCCGCCTGCCTCCGCTGCCTGTCTGCCCTGGCCCTGTTGTTAAATGAAATATGGGCTTTTCACAGCCGAGCAGTCCTTTAAGCCCCTAAAAAGTCATTTTCACTCTGATGGAACCGCGATGCATCTGAAGGCGCCAGCTAGAAAATTACAGCCAGCTTCGCGAAGTTTTCTGTCGTCTGCAGACGGCTGCCGCGAGGGCCCCCGGGGTGGGCGCCGGGTGAGGAGAGCCTGTCTAGAACTTCACCGCGCCGACCCGCCGCAGCTCACGGAGACGGGCTACTGAAGTGTCACCTGCACTTAATTAAATTGCCTTTGTGTGTGTGTGTGTGCCGTAATATTTGTCACCCAGAGTTTGATTCAATTCAACAAGTCCGTCTTGGACACCTGTCATTAGCCCCTCCATCCGCAGGAGGCGGCGAGGAATTCAGTCGAAGCGAAACTGTCTGTGACTCAGGCTGCCCCCTGACTGCCATTTCCCGAGTGCCTGTCTCCTGCAGGCACCGAGCTACGTGCTGGGGATGAAAACAACAGTGATCAAAACAAGTGTGTTTTCTGCCCCTGTGGAGCTTATGAGGGGAAGTCAGCAAATTATGACGGATGACTGAGTGCATGGCCATGCGTGGGCAGGATGTTCTGAAAATGCAGTGTCTCCTGAGTCTGCAATGGTGGGGGGGGTGCGTTCAGGGGGAAACTGAGGAAGAGAACAAGACCTAAAGAAGGGTGGGAGTTAGCCTGGGACAAAAGGTGAGAGTGTTGTTGGCAGAGGGAAGAGCACGTGCAAAGGGCCTGGGGCTGGATGCGAAGCAGGGTAATTTAAGGGCTAAAGATGGGAGGCAGGTGTCGGCGGAGCCTTGGCGGTGGGGGTGGGAGGAAGAGCATGGGGGCAGGGGGTGCCGGAGCTGTTGTAAGGGGGAGGTGGCGTGAGGCAGTAAAGACCTCACCCTGAGGCAGGGGGATGGCAGTGATGGGATTTGAGCAGGAGTGTGGTAGGAGCATTCTAGAAAGATTGTTGGCTGTTGCAAGGGGAACAGGATTGGAGGCGAGGCAGCAGTACCCCCCGCAGCCCCCTGTCCCCGGGGAGCACTCCCCTCACGGCTCCGGACCCCTCCGGGCCCCAGCCTGCTTTCTTATTTTACAGGAGCCAACTCCCTCGGCAGGTCCCCGCTGGGCAGGACACCGCTGCACGTGGCCGCAGCCATGGGCCGGCTGGACTGCATAAGCCTCCTGTTCAAGTGGGGGGCCCTCATCCACAACAGAGACGCCAAGGGGGAGACCCCCATCTCCATCGCCCGCCGCCTGAACCGCAAGCAGAGCGTGTGGCGGATGTTCCTCCTACACTGGCTGGCCCAGAGCAGGTCGGTGGACGCGAAGGACGTGACCGTGACCGTGAAGAAGGCTCTGAAGGGTGTCAAGGCTGGGGCCGGGCCCACGAGGAAGACCCCACATTAGCTCCTGCTGGGCACGTTTGCCCGCCGAAGCGGACTCGGCTAACTTTCCCAAGTTTAATCCCGTGGTGGCCCTTGGTGAGCAAAAATGCAGGTAAACATGGCAATTAATTCGAACCAGATACTAAATTATCTGTCCTGTTTGCAAATGACTTTGGAGAGTGTTGCTGAAAGTAGGTGAGTTTGTAATCCATTACAGACCTAGCAGGCTGCAATGCCAGCCTTTAATTTTAAGCTATTTGTACATTGTATCCAGTAACGAGGCTTCGGGTGGAAGGGAGCCAATTACCTCCTCTCCCATATGCAGCTGGCGGTCTAATGCACGCGTAATAGGGGTAATAACAGCAATGATAATAGCACTATTGTTATTGCACAAAACAAGTCCCAGCAAACCTTGGGAGATCGTGCGTAGCGTGGGCTGTGAATTTTGGTTTGTAAAATCCATGCAGCCAAATGCTCCCCAGAGAGGAATGTTCTGGAAATTTCCCTGAGCCATCCTCGAGGGGTCTGCTTCTTGAGTTGGGGGCGGCAGAAGTGAAGCTGGGGAGAGCTTGGTCCTCCAAACACCTTCTGCAAAAGGGGCACCTCGTGACTCCTGTTGGGAGGTGACACGTTGACACTGGACGTGGAGGGAACAGTGCAGAGATGGCTGGGGAGTCCGTAGGGAAGACAAGCCGAGCTGGCCGCACCTTCCCTTCTGTCCCAACCCTGGTGGTCGGAGCATCCCCTCCCACCAGCTTCCTTGTCCTTTCCCTGGGGCAGGCCACCTGGGAGTGCCTTAGCCCTTGGATCTGCCTCCCACAATGTCACCCGGTTGTGCCTGCAGGGCCTGGCCTGCCAGTGGGTGCCCAGGCTGGGTGTGGGAACCAGGACCGGCGGCTGTCCGAAGAGGGCACTGTGACTCAGCCTCAGCAGAAATGCCAGCCCAAGATGGCTGGATCTCTCCAGAACTTTCCAGAAGTTCGGCTTTTTGATGGGATAACTCCTGCTTTTTAAATGCTGACTTGAATTTTTGAGGAACGCAGTATGGTACAAAAGGAGGGAGAAGAAGTGGGCACACCCACGGGACTGTCTCTGGATGTCACACTCCAACTTGTGTCCCTGAGAAAAGTGGCAGAAATAATGTGTGTTTCCTTGTAATCGTCCCCAGCCCTAAAGCCACAGTGAGGGCGGGCCGTGGGTCTTGCCTGGGGACACGTACCCTCCACTCCCGATGGCCCCCCACCCCCAGGCCACTTGTGTTTCTCTAAAGGCCCCATCTTCTAACAGGCTTCTGGAATCAAAGCGTGTGGCCACGGTCTCTCGACCACCGAGGCTCTGTTTTGCAAGTGACAGGAAATGACAGTCTTTCCTGGCTGCCCTTGCTTCCGACTTACATCCCAGTAACAAGAGTCAGCTTTTAAATTAATTGGCCGCATTTCCTGCTGTCAGAGCAAGCGAGACCCGTGTTGATGCTGTGGCCTTACACTTGGTGTGCGTGGCTGTGTCCAGCTCAGCAATCTGTCTGACAAATGGCAGGCGGGGAAGAAATAGCTCAGCACCTCCTATGTCAAAACTGGGATCTCGTTCTTGGCAGGCGTTCCGCAAAGTCAACAGGCAGATATTAAGTCACCCCCATCCAACAGGGCAAGTCGTTGAGCTAATGAGGTGTGCTCAGGGTGCGGCTTGGGCACCCTTTTAACTGAACAAGTGGCATTACTCCAAGCCACATGTGTGACAGCTGCCTTGCTAAGCCATCTTTGCTGTTAGGAGTGGCAACTGCCTGACACCCGTACCTAAAAATCTGGGAGCAAACCCTCTGTCTTCATACGCCCCAGTGCAGGTAAACACTTGGCCGGGCTTCGGGCAAGTTCCAGACTCTCCGTGGTGCCGTTTGCTCGGTGTGGGGCAGGGTCATGTGAGCACTCTCGTAGGCCCTGGGGAACTCTTCCTTTCAGACACCCTCCGCATCCTACTTATTATATTAAAATAAGTGTGCATCACATACTAAATAAACATGTCCACAACCATAGAGGAGCTGAATGACATGTTACATTTTGCAGATATTTCACTAACCGTTTATTTGAAGAAAAAGATGTCATGCTTTGGGAGGCAGAAAAAAATTTTGTGTGCGTGTTTGTGGTGCGGGGTATGGGGGGGGCGGTGTCGATCCCAAACATGTTCCTGGAGCCACGAAGCCCGCGTGGGCCGGCGGCCCCGGGGACGGTCCTGTGTGGCGAAACAGCCGTTCTTCTGTATCCCGCCTACCTGCACGGTCGCCAGCATCCTCCGCAACCGCGGCGGGTCCCTCTCTGGGCCCTGCACACCCTGGGCCGGCCCCTTGGTGCCCAGGGCTCTACCCCGGCTTTGGCGCTTTGCCTTCTCTCCGCAAACCCCCTCGAGGCCCTGCTTGCACGCCGGGCTCCCGCACCGGCTCCTCCGTGTAGGCCTGGGTGGCCCTCGCTCCCACGTACCCGCCGCCGGGTTCCCAGAGTGTAGGGAGGGCGTCCCGCTGGTGGCGCCGGCCCTGCGTGAACTCACACTGACACTCTGGGTGAGAAAGTTCCTCCCTGTTCAAACTGCTCTCAAGCCTTTTACTGCCCACAAGGAGGAAGTTTCCTTTTCGTGCCACTGTGTCTTCCACACCTCCTGGGCCCTGGCCGATCTCCCCTTTAAAACCACAGAAGTGGAGCCCACCGGCGCGGGCCGTGGTATTTCGCTAGCATTGAACCCTAGCGTCCTGTTTTCAGCGTGTTGCGGGCCAAGATTCCATTCCTTCCTCCGCTCCCGGCTAGTCGTGGGACCTTGGGACCAATGTCACCTCCCCAAGAGCCCCATCACCTGGTCGTGCTGGGGAAATAGAAATGGCCACGGTAGGTGGAACTCTCCGGACCCCGAGCCCCCTCTGTGTGATCACGCAGTGCAGCAGGAAGGGCCTGGGCTTGCAGTCTAGAACTTTCCTCTCCCACGAGCTGTGTGGGGGCCTGGGGCCAAGCAGGGGCACCTCTCAGAGCCTCAGTGTCTTCCTCTGTAGTTTTTGGTCATGGAAGCCTGCCTGCTGTCATCGCTGGGGGGGCCGAACGCCGGCGCAGAGCGGACGCCTGCGAGACGGCAGCTATTGTTGTTATGATTACTGCCACTGCTTACTTTGCTTAAAATGTTTGCTCACTGGAAATCAATGCTCTCCTGGTCTCCTGATAGCCTCATAAATTTTCAGCAAACCTTATACAATAAGAGTCTCCGTCCAGAACTAATAATTCCCAAAGTGGGAGATAAATAATTTCCTTTAAATTTGCTGATTTTGGTATTAAGCAGAGCCCTTTCTCAGCAACTTGAAAAAAAAGTGCGTAGTGAACTTGAAACTCCAGGGCCAGTTCTGCAGGGGAGAAAAAAAAGCTCTCAGGCGAAAGGAAAATTCCAGTCACCGGGCTCTGCCTCCGCAGTGCCGCAGTGACTACAGATGCCTCCAGCAGAGGGCACGGAAACCCATTAACATTTAGAAAAACACCCGTGTTTGTGTTCCTTGGAAATGTCAGAGATGCTGCAGTCTGCGTCACTCAGAAACTTGAGAGTGAGGCCCAGCAACAGGGGCTCGCAGACAGGCGTTTCTGCCTGAACCCCTGAAACCGTCCACACAATGTGCATGTCTGTACACGCTCCTCCTGGGGAGAGCCTCACAGGTCTCAGCACACACCCTGAACGGGTCTGTGGACCACCCCCTGCCTCAAGGGCCCAAATCCTTGTTACCCCAGGGTGACAAGGACCTCAAGCACACCGGTGGGCTGTCAAAGTCATCAAATCAGTGCATCGGTACCATGTCACACTACCTATTTGGCTGGATTGCATCATCATGTTACAATTGGAAAAATGATAAATGCTGGCAACATCTGGGGCTGTGATGTGTGTGTGTGTGCGTGTATGTGTGTGTGTGTTCCCGTGCATGCGCCAGTGTGTGCATGTGCGTGTGTGTGCATGTGTGTGTTCGTTCACCTGAAAAATGTATCAACATTGCAGAGGGGAGCTTGCAGATTCCTGTAGCCTTGCAGAATTACTACCTGACAATATGTATTTAACGCATTGACTGCCACACTAGAACAAAACAGTTTTCCTTGGGGCCACGATGTTTTATTACAGAATAAAAACCCTGAAAACAAAATGATCGTTTCTAACTTAATGAAAAATATGTTATTTTTTATTGTTTTCTGTGCATGAGTTATATATGCAGTTAAATTGTCGATATTAATTGTAACAGTAAGAACATCAACAAGATTTTCAGAACCAATTGCAGGGTTTTGCAATTACAGAGTAACATGTATGCTACAGCCTGGCAGCGTGAGTTGCCTGAGCACCATGTGACTCCCAAGGTAAAGAGATGGGTGAATTAATATGCTTCACAAGGCTCTGGGCTCAAAACTAGCATGAGTTAAATACAACTCACCTGGTAGTTAATGTGTTAAAATGCCCATGCCTCAGCCAAGCGCCCCCCACTTTTGTTAATGCACCCTACAGAGACAAAACCCCAGTACATAATGAGACCTGTTTGCAAATGCTCGTGACTACTCTTTATGGCAGCAGGTGTCTGGAAACACTCCAAATGCCCACCAGTGGGAGTGATAGTGACGTATTTTGCAGCTATTAAAGAATCACTTAGCCTGTATGTATAGGCCAGGAACAAACATGAGAGATATCTGGGATGTGTCATTAAGCGAAAAACACCAAGTTGCCCAGGAAATGTGTATGAGCTCATTGAGTTACAATTTTTAAAAAGAGGCAGATCCAATAAATGTCCACATATGTTTATCTGAACATGAAGAATGATGCCAGGAGACACCCCAGACCCAGCATGGCTGTGCCAGGTCATGAGATTTTGCTCCACACGCCCCCTGAATCGTTACCACCGGCATGTCTTCTTTTTTGTTTTTATTGTGGCAAAATACACATAACATAAAATTTACAATTAATGGCATTTAGTACATTCACAATGTTGTGCAACCATCACATCATCTAGTTCCAGACCATTTTCATTACTCCAAAAACCAAATCCATACCCATTCCCGATCACCCCCAGACCCCCTTTCCTCCAATCCTGGTCAACCACCGATCCACTTTCTGCCTCCGAGTTCCCCTGTTCTGGATGTTTCCTATCCATCAAGCCATACAGCAGGTGACC